ATATGACCCACACGAAATTGATTGGTAGTTTAATAATTTTTCGAGACATATTTGTCATTTTCAGCTCAGATTTGTTGGGTATATAGTGCAAAATTAACTAATTATAGAAAGTTTTTTATATTTCCATTTTAGTGTTAATTAATGGTTAAATTGTTTTTTTTTTTTTGGGAGTAGTAATTGTTACTACTACTAAAAATCATAGAGGTCAACAGGTTTACTAGAAAAAAAAAAGTTCTTAAAATAGAGAGGTTTCCATATAATTTCTAAGCCATAGAAGGGAGAGAGAGAGTTTGCAAATGGGACGGGCAACCACCAAAATGAACCATAATTCCTCCCTCTTCCGCGACGTTGTTTCCTCTTTGCAATCAACAAACAATATCAGAAAAATATTAGTAATTCACACAAAACCATTGCCGATTTCCGGTCAAACCTTGCTTTGTCGAAACAAGGAAAAGTTTTTTTATATATATAAATAATATAATCTCATGAATGTTGTAGTTCAGTTATAAAGTGAAAGGGTGGTAGTGATCGGTGGCCGACCGAGGCGGTGACGTTGGCGTTGGTGGTGCTGGTGGTGGCGGCGACGGTGTTCGAAGCGGCGGCAGAAAGGCAAACATGGAAGTTCCAACGAAAGTACACACGGTGGCGAACAAATCAAACGATACAATCGTTTGCTATGCACCAACCATGATTACAACAAATGGTGTCTGGCAAGGTGATAACCCTTTGGATTATTCGCTTCCTCTGTTTATTTTGCAGTTGACATTGGTCGTCGTCACCACTCGCATTTTCGTTCTTGTTCTCAAACCCCTTCGCCAGCCACGAGTCATCTCGGAAATTCTTGTAAGTTTTAATCAAATCTTCAAAAGTTGATATGCATATGCAATAGAAATTGGGTATTTATTTCTTGTCAATTTCATGGTTTATAATTAAATTGTGTTACCTTGTTGGGATAGGGAGGAGTAATTTTAGGTCCATCAGTGCTAGGACGGAGCGCAGTATTTGCCAACACTGTGTTTCCATTGAGGAGTGTGATGGTTCTTGAAACAATGGCGAATGTGGGTCTTCTTTACTTCCTCTTCCTGGTTGGTGTAGAGATGGACCTTTCTGTGATTCGCCGGACCGGGAAAAGGGCTATGGCCATTGCTATTTCCGGCATGATCTTGCCCTTTTTAGTTGGTGCATTTTTCACATTCATGCTCCATAATAAAGTTGAAGGTAACCACAATCATGGCACATACATCCTCTTCCTAGGTGTTGCTCTCTCAGTCACGGCGTTTCCGGTGCTTGCTCGAATCCTTGCGGAGTTGAAACTCATTAACACAGATATTGGCAGATTGGCCATGTCTTCTGCTTTAATTAATGACATGTGTGCTTGGATTCTCTTAGCTTTAGCCATTGCCTTGGCTGAGAATGATAATGCATCCTTAGCTTCTCTTTGGGTGGTTCTTTCCAGTGCAGGCTTTGTTGTCTTGTGCATCTTTGTTGTTAGGCCAATAATTTCATGGATGATTCGACGAACCCCTGAAGGCGAATCCTTTAGTGAATTTAGTATATGTCTCATTCTCACCGGGGTAATGATTGCTGGGTTCATTACAGATGCCATTGGGACACACTCTGTTTTCGGAGCTTTTGTTTTTGGTCTGATTATTCCAAATGGACCCCTTGGAGTTACTCTTATAGAAAAGCTTGAGGACTTTGTATCAGGGCTTCTTCTCCCTCTCTTCTTTGCTATTAGCGGGCTCAAGACTAATATAGACTCCATTAATGGAGGTCGAACATGGGGACTCTTAGCACTCATTATCCTTCTTTCCTGCGCTGGCAAGGTTGCAGGCACTCTTCTGGTTACAACTTTTTACAAGATGCCACTAATTGAAGGATTTGCCCTTGGCTTGCTCATGAACACGAAAGGCCTCGTTGAAATGATTGTTCTTAACGTTGGCAAAGATCAGAAGGTACACTTTCTCTTTCAAAATTTTACCAATTATTAGCTTTTCATCACATGCCTAGGCGCCATTGATAGAAACATTGATTTGCAGGTGTTAGATGATGAATCATTTGCAATCATGGTGATTATAGCAATAATTATGACTGGGACAATCTCACCCATTGTAGCAAACATTTACAAGCCATCAAGGAGATATGTAGCATACAAACGCAGAACAATTCAGAAATCAAAACCAGATGGAGAGCTACGAGTGTTGGTGTGCGTCCACACCCCTCGAAATGTCCCAACGATAATCAACTTACTTGAAGCCTCTAATCCCACCAAAAAGTCTCCCATATGCATATATGTACTCCATCTGGTTGAACTCACTGGACGTGCATCTGCCATGCTCATCGTCCATAACACCCGCAAATCTGGTCACCCGGCCTTAAACAGAACTCAAGCTCAATCCGACCACATAATCAATGCCTTTGAAAATTTCGAGCAACATACAGGCTGTGTCTCCGTTCAGCCCCTCACAGCCATTTCCCCTTACTCCTCAATGCATGAAGATATTTGTAGCTTGGCCGAGGACAAACGTGTTGCCCTCATAATCATCCCTTTCCATAAGCAACAAACTGTTGATGGTGGGATGGAAGCCACAAACCCAGCATTTCGAACAGTTAATCAGAATTTACTTTCAAATGCACCTTGCTCAGTGGGAATTCTAGTAGACAGAGGCCTAAGTGGGTCAACGCGCTTGGCAGCACACGAAGTGTCTCACCATGTAGTTGTGCTATATTTTGGAGGACCAGATGACAGAGAAGCACTTGCATATGGATGGAGAATGTCTGAACATCCAGGAACTACCCTTACTGTGATGCGGTTTACTCCGGGTGAGGATACAGCTGATCTTGCTCGGTCAGCTTCCACTCAAAGTGACCCACAGATGTTAACTCCTGTGGACACAGGCAGCAATAAGGAAAATCAGCTTGATAACGATTATATAAACGATTTCAGGATGAAGACTGCAAATGATGAATCAGTTATATACATTGAGAATGTGGTGAACAATGGGGAGGAAACAGTTGCAGCAATAAGGACATTAGACAACAGCCATGACTTGTTCATCGTGGGGAGAGACCAAGGATCGATATCACCCCTCACAGCTGGACTTACTGACTGGAGTGAGTGTCCAGAACTTGGTGCAATTGGAGATCTGCTAGCTTCCTCAGATTTTGCATCAACGGCATCTGTGCTGGTTATACAACAGTATGTTGGGTTAATGCCAAATGAATCCGCCATACCAGATAGTCCAGGTCAACCAGATTATGATGAGCCTACGATCCGCCAGACACCACCAAGGGGACCTCCTGTTTTTGACACGTAAAAATAGACAACATAAGTAGTTGCACTGAAGAATACTGATATGATATGCGCCGGGATGTGCTGGCCGAAGGCTGTTCCCGTCACTATCAGGGGAGATGCCAACCATCTCTCCTTTCTACGAACACGAAGAATACTGATATGAATTATAACAAAACATACACAAAACGAAAATGCTGCTAGTTATGACCTCCATCATAAAGTGTTTTATTCTTCTTTTGTCTTACTGAACTACCATGTTTTTCCACCATATTTTAGATTTATGATTACAAGTTCCATTTAATTTTTATTTTTGTTTACTCTATACATGTACATAAACAATAGAAATATATAGTAATTTACAATATACTTGTATTCTATTAGCTAAATGTTCCAAATTATTTGCATCAGTTTTCCGAAATAAATGAAAGTATTTTACAAGACGTAATGAACCATCAGCAACAAGAATCAGCTAACAGATTATTACTCAATGGCCTTGGTGCAGTAAATGGGTTTAATAATCTTCAATTTGATTGGAAATCCCCTTAAACTTGTCGATTACACTCTTAATAATGAATTTTTCTGAGGATTTGTGGTGGTAATACAGATTGGTTGTGCCTGCTGTGCATCCTGGTTTGCCGTTTGAGTTTGGACTTTGGAGTGGTGAATGCATAGCTAAAGAGGATTTCTTCAAAAATTGGTACTGATTATAGAGAGGAGAGGATAACTGTAACTTCTTAGTCTTGGCAATTCAATAGTTAAATAATTATTTACATTTCTTAGAAATTTTATTACCATGTGTCTAGACTCTTGAGTGTTTGCTTGTAGGGTTCCCTTTTGGATGTCTGTGCAAGTGTAATGTATATGAATTATGATTATACTACGATAGGGGCAAATCTTCCTTGTGTAACAACTAACAGGTGCCACAAGGGAACTCAGCTTTGAGGCTTTCCAGAGAGAGTATAGTTTTCCATGATTGTTCTAATGAAATTTTGTATACATAAATTTGAATATATGCAGCAAAAAGAAAAAAAGAGTGAAGAGAATGAAGAATCTCCACAAGATGCCCCATAAAACCAGTGTGCTGCAAATGCTCTTGTTCTTCATTCCACCAAGATTCCCAGCTCTTATTTGATGGAACTCCAAGTCCAGTAGAAAAGAAAAATGAAAATGTATTCTTTTCACTCTTAACTCCTTGTATTTGTAACGATCAATAACCCTGAACACATGAGCATCTATCATTCTGAGGCATTGATCATGGTTGACGACTTTTGGAACTGCTGAACAAGATTCTGAACACTCAGCAACCATAAGAGCCTGGTTTGCATAAGGCAGATCAAGAAAACCAAACTGCAAGTCCTCATAATGCTGCAATATCATGTTTAGTGAATGAGATGGAAGACTTAAGAGATCATACCTGAGAAAAGGCCAACAATTAGCATACAAGACCCATATAACCAGACACTGAATAATGAACAAATGCTGGCAAAGAAGGAGCAGAAGAGATTTAATAAAAGATCTAGAGTACCTCAAAGTTCACCACCTGCCTGTATGCCATTAGCTTGAGTAGAATGTTCATAGAAGCTTTCATACTCAGTAGAGTCCACAATAAATCAATGGTCAGGAGCCCAGTATTTCTGCTGTTTTAATGAAACTTCAAAGTTGTTAAAAGACATCACCTCCATGCACCAAAATCAACGGACTGAAGTGATATATGACCAAGATATAAGTCCTTTAAATGTTTCTTGCACAATACGATTCGTCTTTTATTCAAGCTTGGATGAATACAACTTGAGAACCCTGTCTTCCAACCTGGAAATTTCTGTCTTTCCATAGCATGGAGAGTGTAAACACTAGGTGCTGCCACTGAGCACCCCATAACAAAACAATTGCAAGGCCTTGACTGGCTCACCATTCTTTCCAGAGACAGCAGGCACAGACCACTAGAAGAAATTCCATACATCAAGGCCTCATCATTTTCAAAAGTGTTAGGATCAGATGTTTCATATGTCATCTCTGGCTCTACCTCTTCCACCGAAGGGATTCTGCATAGTTCTGAATCAAATCGTTTCTCAATTTCACTTTCATTAATCCTATATTTTGCTGCTAGAGTACGAATGCATGATTTCCTCACTATAGAAGAAATCAAGAGCTTGATCTCATTGAAGTTGTCACACTCATGGTACCACCTAAGCCATCGGCAAACAATCCCTGAAAACCAGTCAATAATTTGAAAGTTATCTTGTAAGATGAGCAGTGAAGCCACATGAGGATATCCCGCAGAAGTGGTCAATCCATAGCGTAAGAGACGCTTCTTTATTGCATCGGCAGGGGCAATGATCTCGGTAACAGCAACAAATCCAGTGTTTGAGCTTGAATTTGGTAAAAGAGCAAGGGTAGCTGCTGTCTCAGAAGAAACATATTCATTTGCACGGTTCAAGAATTCATAATAAGATTCCTTTAGTTCTTTAGGAAGTGCTGGTTCTACAACATACTTAGACAAGATCGAATCCTCATTCTCAGCCGCTTTGGCTTTAACATCTTGCATCCATACTTTAATTAAGACCTTGTACCAATGATCAGTTTCCATCCCAGCTTTACGGAAACAAGAAATTTTACTCAAAGTAGAGTTACTGTCTGCTAAATGCTCAATTTCCGACTCCTTGACCTTTTTTAAACCATGGCCCAACCATTTCTTTCCAATTCTAACAGTTCCAGCATCCCAAGCATCTTGTTTCTGTAAAGCAACCAACTTAACTTTTTCCTTTAACTTGTGCACAGCTCTTATTGCAGGACCTTCTCGCATGCTTCTTCTAACAGAAACTCCCAAAAACTGAATTCCTTTAGACCCATCACATGCTTGAATTTCTCTTTGCTCATCATCAACATCCAAACCCAAAGCATTCTTAAAGAACTCTACAATCTCAGACTTGAAACTGAGAGCAACATCTTTGGAACCAGAAATTGCAAAAAATACCTCATCCATGAACCGGCAACAATGAACTCGTGGGCTAGAATCGTCATTAACTCTGTCTTTAAGATCATTTTCTTTTAAGTGTCTCCTAAACCAGTCACGCAACTTGGAATGTGACATATCTTCATTCTTATAAACGCCTGTATTAAGAGCTTCATATCTCATGGACAATCTGTAAAATTCTTGATCGAAGAGGTCAAGATATATGTTCATTAATATTGGGGATAACACTCCCTCCTGTGGAAGACCATGGCCTTTCTGGAAACCTCCAAACTCAAAATTGAGTACATCTGCATCAAACATACTCTGGATAATAGCATATAACTGGTTGTCCTCTACTTTGTCCTTTAATTTGGAAATGAGCTTAGCAAGGATATTAACATCAACCTTTTTGTTTAAAATTAATGTGAACCACCAACTTGGAGCACCAATCTCTTTGCTGATGTATCTTAATGCAGTCGAGTGACCCCTCCCACTTCGACAGCCATGTGAAATTTTAGAAAAATGGGGCCTGTAGACAACTTCTAAAACTATTCTGATAGCTTCTTGAACAGTCCTCAGCTTCAGATTTGGAAGGACAAGGACTTCTTTCCTCTTACCCCTTGTTGCCACAGAGAAGGTATTTGCTTTGACATCAAAACTCCCCACAAGGAGTTCCTCTGCCAGGGACTTAAAACAAATTGAATCATCCTTCACTGATATGTCGACATTTGAGTTGAGCCTAATACAATCAAAAGCATCTTGAAGTGTATCTGGATTGGCAATCACTTTGGACATTAAGTTTTGAAACTTTCCACTTAAGAACTGCTCTTTTACTCTCTTTTTTACACGAAGTTCAAGAGACCTCTTGAGCTCCATTCTGCTCTTGGCTTTCCTCTCGTCTTGATGAGACGACTCCTCAACAAGACATGCCAAGTCCTTTGCCAACATCATCTTCTTAGGGACCATTTTAAAGTCATCACCGGTGGAAAAACAAGAATAATACGTCCAAGCATGAGCATTTTCAACATGTTTTCCTGCAAAACGTATACACATCCAAATCCAAATTCAATCTAAAAAATAAAACCCAAACTTCCTTTTAGAAACTATGCCAAATTTACAACATAAGAAATGCTCACGGCCACGGGCTTATTGAAAACCATCCATTCCATAAAATCCCATGAATTTTAAGCCATATAAGGGACAAAAAGACATTGACAAGAAACGCGAGGAATGAACTAATTATACTAACATCAAATTCTAAACAAAATAATTTTCAAAAAAAAAAAATCTAAACAAAATAAAGTGCAAAAGAATTAAAAGCATACCCGTACGAAAGAATGGTGCTAAGTTCATTGTTTGGAGAAGGGAAAAATTCAGCAACTTCCCGCTGCGAATACTAAACAAGCCCCTAATCCGCATTTTTTTCTGAAAAGAGCTTCAAGAAGAACAAATACCCATTAATGATTCAATTCGAAGGTACTAGACTGAGACAAAGTAAAGCAGAATGTTCCTCTATTCCCAGTCCAGACAAAGTTGTTTGAATACGAATCATTTTGACAAACAGGTGGCGCGCGAGAGTTCTCCTCTTTTATTTTTTCCATTTGGGCCGCCTGAGCGGGCTGCTTTTGTAATGTGTTCTGTCCAATCTCATTCTAACGGGTTATGTAACTTACGATAATAGACCGACCCTTCTAAAGACATTTTTGCAGATGGACTTGGGCCACTCGTCACCAAGAATATTGAATCTTTATTTTTCTTTTCCTTTTTTGAAGCGAAAGAACATTGAAGTTTAGTAAATGTTAATCATAATTTTTTATTTTTAAGGGAGTTAATCATAATTTTTTGAGTGCCATTACTGTAATGATTGAATATTGACCAAAAAAAGAAAAAAGCTAATGAATGAATAATCTGGACCTTTTGTATTTCTTTTACAATGACAGCACAGGTTGCTCAAATGCCTACTTTCTCTTTAGCATAAATTTTTTCATTTCAGATGCTTAGTCGCTTACACTACAAACATCACCTAAAGAAAGAATCTGGGTAGTAAAATCCAAATCCAAACCTTTCCCCAAACTATATATCCACCACACAAATCAGATTTCAGCGTAATCAGGCATTTTACATAAATATATATGCTCCCAAACGAAGGCATCATTTGCATTTAACATCAATCAAATTGAAGCTAATCAAGCATGTAGATACGGGAGGCAATATCTTGAACCAACCAATCAAACCCCTCAAGAAGCCCTTCACCAGTGTATGCACTACAGCCAACAATTTTCCAGTGCCGTGTTTTATCCATAGCTTCCAGGTTTAGAACCTGCAAAGTTTTTATTCCCACGAGAAAGAACCAAAATAAAGTTTTAAAGAATACAAAATTTGCAACAACATTCACATATATACCCAAAATTAATCAGCATTTTACATAGAAGGTTTGACGGCACAAAGTTTAGCATCTAAATATTGCATTGTACTAGAACTTTTGGAACAAGCAGGTACGAGGAATCTAAGCACAAACAACAAATGGTCCTTGGGCATTTAAGAAAGAAAGAACTAAACTCTCAGTTTTTGCAGTCTAACAAACACTAAAATTCAAAGATAAGAAGTTAAGAAGGTGATTATAAGTTGGTACCCTTACTTTAGCAATTTCAGCTGGTGTAAGAGCACCTTTAATATCCTGTTTGTTAGCTAGTATCAATAAGGAAGCCCCTGATAACCTCTGCAACACAAAGAAAAAGAGTAACTACTCCTAAGAAGATAATCCACAAGGAAATCACAATGCATCATAACATTAGCTTAAAATGTTTCATATTCTAAGAGAAAACCCATTGCAGCAACCTGAAATGCATTGTTCTAAATTCCAGTTCATGATGTAAACTATAACTTCTATCAGAAAATTCAAAGGTGTGCATTTTGATTGGGGGAACAACAAGTCAAATAAAAGACCAAGCAATACCTCTTCCTTTAGAAGATTATCAAGTTCCATTTTGCAATCATCTAATCTTCTAAGATCAGAGCTATCAACAACCCACACCAAACCATCAGTTTGCTCAAAATAGTTCCTCCAATATGATCTTATAGTTCTTTGACCACCCACATCCCATATATTCAGAGTATATCTGCCAAAACCCAAATCAAATCCTAATCAAACTCAGCATTGCAAATTTAAAAGGAAAAAAAGAACTTTTTTCAAACACTTGGTGAACATAGCTAAGTTGATTATTAGAAATTATGTAAACTTTACTTTTGATAGGTGATGGTTTTGATGTTGAAGCCAAGAGTGGGACTGATAACGCTGGTGTCCTCTCCATTGATCTTCAAAACAATGGTGGTCTTCCCTGAATTGTCAAGTCCACTGCAATTACCATTTAGCTCGGATTTAAAAATATCAAAAAAAAAAAAAGGGCGAGAGGAATAAGAGTGAGAAAGAGAGAGCTTACACCATGAGAATCCGCATCTCTTTCTCTTTTCTCTTGATTTTTCGAATAATACTCAGAAGCCCCATTTCCTACTTCTGAACGCCAAAGATTGACAGAAAATCAAAGATCAATCAACTGCAGATCCACGAAAAATCAATAAATCATAGTCCATAGCTGGAGAGCCTGAAACATCATTTTGTTGAAGAAACGACGTCGCTCCTTACGCATGATTTTCCTTTTTTCTTTCTTTCCTCTTTTTTTTTTTTTTTTCATTTTAGCAGGCCTTGATTTGGGCTGATTGGGCTTCTTTGCATGTGGCCTGGCCCAATGTTTGCAGATCAGCTAATTTTTAACTTATTAGTATTTATTTTGTATTTTTTCACCCATTTCCATAGCCATAATTTTTCTTAATATGGATTAATGGGTATTATGATTGTATCTGTTTAACGGTTTATGACTATGTAAATCAAGTCGGCCTACTATGAGAGTCTAAAGACGGTTTTCTCCATTTACAGTACTTCAACCCGAAACTTTACTTAAAGGAAATATATATCGAAATAATGATTAACAAGCATCACTATACATTAATAAAAAAGGAAAAAATATATATCTATCTTATTCATTCTAGTAGTAGAAAAAACCCTTCGGCAAATGGATTAATGGAGCCAACTTTTCAACCGGTAAAAATCTTTTACACTAGTTTCATCATTGTGAGAAGGGCCTATTATCTAAAAGTGGAGTACAAAAACTCACTATAATTCTACAAAAATTTATTAAAGTCAGCTCTTTACAATTGAAATTCTGCAATTTAAATTACTTTACAAAAGAAAAAAGATTGTGGATCCTCATCATTACTTTGAATAATACTCCAATGGAGTATAAAAGAATGAAAAAGCTATATATATATATATATAAGTTTTTCTTATGCATGTGTTCTTCAATGATATGTGAAAAAGAAAATAAGCATTAAGTATACAATTTTTTTTAGATTATAATTTAGTCTCTTTTCTATTTTGAAGAAGTTATTATTGACCAGCATTTTTCTTATAATAGTGGGAAAATGATCACAGCTGATATAGACATTTTGTTCTAATTAGAAATTAATGGGCAAAAATTGAGAAAAGGGAGGAGAGATTTGTTCAAAGTCCAAAAAGAATAAAAATTTCGTGATATTAATCCTCCTCCCTTCTAGAGAGTTTTAATTAATTTAGGGTCTTCTTTGTTTTGTTCTACTGTCAATTTGTCTTTGTCTCATTTGTGTCGATTGCATCATATGGATCCAATTTTCTTTTTTTGATTAACTATCTTCTTTACCTATTGTACGTCGGGGGAAGATTTATAAGATTTGTCCTTCTTGCCAAGTCATTAATTAATTTGATAAAGATATATAATAATGGGGTTGATGACTTAGAAGAAGAAGATACTAAAGCATGTTGTCCTTTCTTTCACATTTTTGCCTTTGGGGATTTTCACAATAATAAATATTCTTTACAATTTGATTATAGTATATACAAGGTCAGTGTGTGAAAGTTTTGTGGAGATTTAAAACCAAGTGCCTTTCATTGTGTATATCTAACCAATCCTTTTTTTTTTACAATAAAGAAAAAGAGTTTCTTGGTGGGCGTCATTGATCCTAAGGGCTCTAAGTCCCCCGCTTCCTCTTAAACCCCGGTAATTCCATGGCGAGAGGCACACCTGTGGGTAGTAATGGGGCGTGCCAAGAGTAAATCATAAGACAAGGTGGAAACAAATAGAAGTCTATGTGAGAAAAACCTTGTATTTACTCAGACTCGAACCCATGACCACACTTGCAGCAAACCTTACACTCAACTTTCTGCCACTAAACCACCCCATAGGACATCTAACCAATCCTCTTTAGCAAGTATACAAGTATATATATCACTATAGCGAAAGTTATACGAAGTTTTCACTATTAAATTGTTTTGTGATTTGATGCAATTACTTGTGAAAAACTTTAGTAGATACACTTCCCAAAGAAAATTTTATTCTAATTAGGATGGTTAAGGATTGAAATTTACTTGAAGAGGTCTCAAATTTGAGACTCCACAATCTCCTGAATAGGCCTATTTCCCTGTATATTTCTAATATACAAAAAAATACTATGATAGAAATTGTTTAGTTCATCAACCAATCACTTAGTAGTCTAATAACATATTATTATTATTATTGTGACAAACCACATACCTAAAAAAAATCTTTAAGCTATATAATTTTTTTTTAATTTTATGCATTTCTCTATTATAGAAGTAATTAGTAAAAGATAATAATTTGTTTCAACCTTATTAAAAGTTTATATATAAGAAGGAATCGCCCATTACATATTGACCGTTTGATGTGACGAAGAGATGAGTAAGGGACCCGACCAGCTGCCGTTGGATGGATTGACTAAATTTTGTCCAGTCAAAGAGTCTTAGTATTCGCATTTGACTAAAGACCAAATTTAGCCAGCCACCCCACGGAGACGTGTGGTGTGGACGTATTATGTACGTTTTCGCAACTAGATAGACCAAATTAATGCATGCATCCAAAGCTCTAAATTTTTTTTTCCTTTAGGTATCAAAAATTTTTGTTTTCCTTTCGATCATTCTCTTCTATTGAAAGTTGTCTGAATTTGAACTCTCTCGAGTATAATCAAAGTTCTTAGCTGTCACTCAAATCCGATTTAAAGGGTTCCAGACACACTATATATTCGACTCTTCAAATTAAGCATGGCTAAATAGCCCCTTTGCCCCCCGAACTTTCCAAATTTAGGCCATATTGCTCTCTGAACTTTAAATTGTGCCAATTTGTCCCCTGAATTTATAAAATTAGGCCAATTTACCTCTGATTTGACGGTTGACTAATGCATTCCGTTAAATCCCATAAAATTTGCTGACATGACAAACTCTTGCT